GTTCAGATTTGAATGAAAACTACAAATGAAACTCACTTCTTCAAAGAATTGGTGGATCAACTACAAATAGGATCTGAATTCTATATAAATTCAGTCTCTGCTGGAAGTTATCCTTCCTGGAATTGCATCAGACGTATACCACTCAGGCTAAAAGGCGTGACTTTTATGATGATGTTAATTAATTTAATTTGCAGAAACTTTATCCAACGCAAAGTGATTTTGAGTGTCTTCAAGATTTTAGCGTGGAGTTTTTTTCTTTGCAGAAATAGTTGCTTTGAATTCTCGATCTGTTTTGTTTAAATCGATGATTGAAAGAGTATATGTAAAGATAAAAGAAGAAGAAGAAGAAGGAGGGGGTGAGGAGGTGGGGGACGGCAACGACAATGACCACCTTACGAGGAAGAAGAAGAGATAAAGTAAATGGAGTTTTTTCTTTAGGTTTGTAGATAGTTTGTTAAATGGGTAATGGGGCGGGTTAAAAGGTATTTGAAATTTGAGTTAAATATTTGATCAATTCGGATTGGGGCCTAGGATAGTGCCATGTGTACAAAATTAGTCTTCCGTTAGTGGGAGGGGCAAATGTGCACTAGTTATTGAACGGCGAGGGCACTAATGAACGAAAAGTATGACGAAGGGTACTGACATACCATTTTCGAAAACTCGGGGGTATATTTGTCCCTTTTATTTATATGAGGTTCTTTGGTAATATTTATTTTTTCTTTTCTTTTCTACTATTATAGAAACATGAGTGAAAGTTTGGTAACATGAGCTAACACGGCATGATGATGGCATTTTAGTCTTTTAATTAGTTGATAGTAGTAATTTTCAGTTTCTCTGAATAGTTGTATGATGATTGATGACATAGGGAGAGAGGGGGGGGGGGGGTTATCAATAGTCATTAATAAATGTGAATGTGATTTACGTTAGTATAAACTAAATTTGTTTAAATAAACTACTCTTCCATTACAATTGATTAGCTTAGTGAAAAAATTTATTTACTTATTGCTTCTTAATATTTGTTTCAATTTGTTGATAAGAAGTTGAAGGAAAATTCTTGTGGACAAAAATAAATGAATAAAGTTGTATAGCTTTACTATTGGTAATTCATTTATTTTTTGCTTCTAAAGGTAACACAATATTCAAAATTTGAGATTCAATTAAGTCTTTGAGTTTGTTTGGATTGACTTAAAAGTTGGTTAAACCTATTTTTAAGCTAGTTTTAGTTTTTGAGACTGTTTGACAAAGTTAGAGCATGTTTGGATGGGCTAAAAAGTTGGTCAAACATATTTTTAAGTCATTTTTTATTTTTTGAGAGTGTTTGGCAAAGTTAAAAATAACTTAAATTAAGTTAAAAACCAAAAGTAGAATTTTCCCTACTGTTTATTTTTTGACTTAAAAATCATTTAAAGTTTGTTTTTTTACTTAAACACTACTTTTTTCAGCTTATTCAAACGGGCTCTTAAAAATATAACTTAAAATAAGTTTTAAAAAATAACTTAAATAAGTTAAAATTAGAAATAGGACTTCCCATACTTCTTTCTTTTTTTTACTTAAAAGTCATTGAAAGTTTGATTTTTTTTTATTTTTGAATTAAAAACAACCTTTTTAGCTTATCCAAACGGGCTCCTAAAAATAAGTTTAAAAAAAGGGTAAAATGACAAATATACCCCCGAACTGACGTAAATAGTATGCAGATACCTTCGTCATACTTTTGAGACATTGGTATCTCTGTCGTCCAAAAAACTATAGCATATATGCCGTTCTTTCTAAAAATGTTAAAATTTAGAGATAACGGATTGTTGAACCCGTGCTAGCCCGCCAATGACATCTAGTATATATGCAACGTTTTTGTTGCTAGCCTTATTTGGACACAGTATTTATGATAGTGACAATATAAGGGTTCTAATTTACTTTTATTAAGGGTGTGTTTGGTATGGAGGAAAATATTTTTCGAAAAATGTTTTTCAATTTTCTCATGTTTGGTTGGGTAAAATGGTTTGGAAAATATTTTTCAAATCAACTCATTTTTCTCAAATTCAAGGAAAATGACTTCCCTTCAAAAAGTAAGGAAACATTTTCCAAAACTTTCCTCCAACTACAATACAATTTTTTTGTTGAAAAAATCAATTTAAAGATTTTTTTAAAATATATTTTTCAACTTCAATTTTTTAAATTTTTTACTCCGCCCTTACCCCGATCCCCCCCCCCC